AAAATTAATATTCTGAAAAGCTAAAAGATATATATATATGTGGTATATATTTAATTATATAAGAAACGTTGAGATATTTGTATAGTTATTGTAATATTACATTAATCGGAAATTATTGTAATATTTCTTACAACGTGAAAATCTTTCACGTGAGACTCGCGTGGCTTTCCAATTACATGTTTCCATTATCCCGTGTATACTGATGAATGTTGTAGATAAGTGTAATGTTTTTGCACCGTATGCATAATTGTGCCAATGACGTAAAGTTTGTCTTATTACGTAGGTATCTACTCTTCTCATTCATAATTTCTATGCACAAATAGCATAGATATAATTTTAAAATTACTTCATCACCAAATAAATCATACTGATTTTTATGACAATATAAAAATTTATTTACAGCTAAACGATAACACTAATTAATTATACGTACTTGAAGAATTATGCAAGTTTTAATCTGCGCCGATCTTTAACCCTCACTTGACTTGAGCAAGAATTTCAATTATCGCATCGCATCGGTGCTAAACTATTGCACGACAATTTCACTAATCCTGCTACTTGTCGATAGTTACTCGTTAACGTACAGGTTTTATTTAATCAACAGATTATATCGTGAAGGCTTGAATAGCTACCGATGAGATTTGTAGGATTATATTACATACACATATTATTGTAGTAGAAATTTATTATTTTTATATGTTCAAATTATAGAATTTGCATTGAGAAAAAAGTGTTTAGTATTTGTGATTGTAATCATATGGTAAAATAATTACGGGAGCGTTAGAAATTTTATTTTACTACTGTTATTGCTATAAATGTTAGTAATAATAATCATATTTATAATTCTATCAAAAAATATATAATAAAAATAACTATATAACTATAGGTATAAATTATAATTAATATAAATTATAAATTATACATAAAAATTATGATATTGCAACAATATTTTTTCTCAATGTAAAATTATAATTTTTATGATAATTTTTTAAAACATTAAATATTAAAATTTTTCCGTAATAAAAATCTAATTTTAAAATGAATTTTAAATTGAACATTTAGTTATTTAATTATCATTTTTCAAGTATCATGGATAACGAGCACAATGTTAGAGCATTGCATTCTGATGAAGCAGAAACACGAGATGAATGAAAAAAGTGAGAGTCAGCAAATGAAAGCGATTAAAATCGCCAAAGAACTACCGTCGATTCAAGTATCTTCCGTACTTTGTTCGGATTTACCTAATTTGCATAAGGCGTGCTAGGCCGTGAACCGGTGAGAGACTTGTGTAGATATCGTAACTGTGCCTTATTTGACGCTGAAGAAGAACGCGGTTGTATTACGCCATGAAATCCTCGAGATCTCTAATGGCACGCGAACCGAACAGTTTGATGGCGTGCGACTTTTTATGCGCATAAACCGCGCGATTGACCTTTACCGGACGAAAACTTATTTTGTTACATGATCATTCCCATTTTAATCTACACACTGGAAAAAGAGTCTGGTTGCATTAATTGGAATTTTGGTTAAAAATGGACAAATCAGAATTTTTTAAATTTATTATAATTCTAATTAAAATAATTAGAATTCTAATTGATATGCTTAGAATCTTTTTATTGTAGCTTATTTATTTTTAATCAGAAATATTTTTCATAATACACACTCAGAAAAAAATATAGCACCAGATAATACAATTGGAGAGTACTCTTCTACAAATAATAGTACAAATAAGGATAGAGATAATTTGTAATAAATGAGTCTAAAAGATTAGTCTAAGAAATTTGACAAATCAATTAATTGCTGAAGGCTGTAAAATATTGCAGTATTAACAAAATCTAAAAAGTATAGTAGTTTTAAATAATTTTGTCAGAATATTTTACAAATTGTAGAAAACATATGTATAATTATTGTAAAGCAGTTTATTTTTTATGTTTAAAGTAAAGTAAACAAATTGTATTACAGTGATTATAAGCTATATGATAAAAGAAACAAAACATTACTACAAATTAATGTTATAGTTGTTTTTAATATTAAGAATATTATTTTATACAGCACTACAATAATGCAACAAATTTTAACTAAATTTTATAATATAATTTTATAAACAGTGTGTAACAAGTTACTCTTAATGTATTATAATTATTTCAAATGTTGTAGAAAAATGTTTTATTTTTTATTAATAAAATTTATTTGTGTGTTTGTTTCACAGAGTCACAATTTTTGTGTTTGCAGGTGACAAAATAAATTTGCTACAAAATTGTAGCTAATCTGTGTATTTTTTATTTTCCATTATGTTACAATTTATAGTTACTCAACTGATTGTATTAGTTTTTTCCGAGACATTTTTCTCGGTGCATATTAAGTAAGAAATAACTCGATTTTGATGGAATTTAAAGAAATTTAGATATTAATGATATTATATAAATCGATGGATAAATTATCTTTCAGCTATTGACTGTAATTTTGTATCTGCATTATTGATGTGGATTCGCTATAGAATTCATTTTCTATTCTGAGGAAAATTTTGTTTGAATGAAAATGAATGAATCACAGAAGATTCTGATATATCAGTTAGAATTTTGATTATCTCAACTAGAATTAAAATAAATTTAACTTAAAAATTCAGAGATTTATCTACTTTCAACTAGATTTCCAATTAATACAATCAGATCTTTTTTCCAATACATCTAACTCAATTCACTAGTTTGTGAATTTATATATCTTGAAAAAGAAAAGGTTAATAATAACGTTTTTTTATGTTAGAATGCTTTCAGCAATCACGAAACAGATAATAATCTAAAATGATTTTTATGTTAATAAATGTGAACAAGTTAGTGGATTAGGTGAATGGTGTTCTATGGAAATTTCATATATTAAGATTGTTCCATGTAAAGAGAATGTAAGATTTGTACTTAATGAACTTCTAAATAAAACCTTTTGAAATATACTTGAGAAACATTTCCACAATTCTTTTTTATTTATTTGGAATTTAATACAAAATATAAACAGTTTTAATTAGTATATTGAGTACAACTTCTGAGAATGAACGAACTAGCATATTTTTGATCATATCAGCCGAAATTCTGCAGATCATCATAATTAGACATTTGGTTATTTCACGATTAAAATTCTAATGGATTAAACATAGAAAACTCCAATTTATCTATTTCCTACCAGATTTCTACACTCAAGACTTTTTTTAATATGTGTATACAAATAGTCAAACTTTCAAATTATTATATACAAGAATTCATAGATCAACTAATAACGATAAAATTTAGACAAAGTGCTTTGAGATTTTACTTTATCACTGTTTTTTTTAATTTAAAAAAATAACAAAGTTCTAAATTCTTAAAAATTATTAAAATCTATTGTATTAGTCGAAATTTTCTGTCTGACTACTGCATTTTTTTTTACTTGCACATGATAATTTCATTATATTTTTTTTATAAAAAAGGGGAATTTTTATTACAAGAAATTTTAAAAACTAAAAAAATTATTTAAAAATGTCGAATTTCAAATTAAGGGACAATAACTCTTGACATTTATAACCTGCTGTCTTGCTATATTCTGCGAGAAGACTGGGTTTATGTGTAAATATCAAACGACAAGCTCATCGACGAAAACGCTCTTTTACAGAAAGGAAAGTGCATACGACGAATGTAACGCTCATATGAATCGAAAATCGAAGGCGCCAGGACAACCGGGTGTTCTCGCCATTGTCACAAGAATACATGCGGAATAAATTATCTTCGTTGCATCTTTGCTGTCGCTTCAATACTTTCTACGGCGAATGTTTTACGTATCACAGCACGACGAAAAAGAAAACTGAAGAATTTAAATATATGCAGAATGTCTCATAAAAAGATATAGTATGTATGTAACAATACAGTGAGAATTGACAATATTTTTAAAAATTCGTAATTTTTTCCTGTAAAAATTGTTAGAATTTAATATTAAAAGCTAACATCATCCGAAATAAAAAACTTTCAATTAAATCTTATAAAGCAACAAATAATAGAATTTTACGTTTTAAGAGAAAGAATTAATTAAAAATTTAATTAACAAAAAATAGTAAATATTTATTAAATATAAGAATTTAGAATGTCATTTCACATAAATTTTCTCATTAAATTATACATATACGATCGATATTTTCTTTTTCTTTAATTTTGGTTTATCACTTTTTTAAATATTTAAATATGGCAACGAGATCATCACTTTTGTTTTTGTGTTTTTATCTGTCACAAGATGCAACATTATCGCGACGTTTTGCACGAGAATGTAAGGATTCTTAAGAACTTCAGAATGGCATGATCATTGAATTGAAAGATCAATGAACGGTGAAGGCTACCGTGTAAAGTTCAATTTTTCAATTTCTATTCTCAAGTAGCAGTTATAATCTTCCACCAGTTTTCTTCACTGTATCTCACTTCTCCAGAACACTTGCCGATGAGAAACGGACCTGCAACCCGCAACCCCTTTGCGCGTCGAATACACCATCCCTCCCCGTTCGTACCTATTTTTCCTCACATCACTTTTTCGTCCACGATTTATGATACACTGCTACTTACCATGGCTAGATCGCTGCGCTGATCACCGATGATGACCAAAACAAAACGGACACTTCAAAACGAACACATACCTCACTCGGGAGAGCGCGAACGTCCCCGGGAGGTGACTTCTTCGTTTGCGAACGACCAAGAGCATTTATAGGATTTACCTGATTGGCTGGTGGGGAGGACGAACGTTCGGTCCATGATGATTATTGCCAAGCATGAGATGTCCGCGGGAGGATGCTGTAATTCTTCTACTTCCACGCATATACACAGGTGGGGGTTGGACTGGAAAGGTAGAGGGAGAGAAAGAGCCGGAGAAAGACAAAAAAGGATAGAGGGGAAGAAAAACAAAGAGAGAGAGAGAGAGAGAGAGAGAGAGAAAGTGAGAGTGAGCATCTCATAAGAAGGACGGAGTCATCGGCGGTATTCCAAAGGTCTGACAGAACGAACGATGGATGCTGAATGGCAATAGCCGAAGGACTCCGTATTCGTCCCTGATCCAAGAGCGTATCGGCGAACGTCCGGAGATGATTTCGAGAGACTCAAGGACGTGTATGTGATCAAAAAAAGAAATTCCGATATCGCGTTTGTGGTGCCGACTGGTGCATCTGCATTTTTCGTGGGCGGTAAAAAAAGCATGAATTTGACAGCAGCAAGATGAAGAATATTTGCTGCCAAAATGAGCTCCGCGATGTCCTTATTCTGATAAAAGATGCAAACAGTCGTGTATGTGAAAGAGTATACGTAAGTTCGATGTTAATAATACTGAATAACAAATTTTGATCAACATTCTGTTTTTCAATAAGTAGTAGGTATTTCTTGTAAAAGTTTTAACGCTAAAAAAGGATATACTTTTCAAAAATTCTATTCTCTTGAATTTTAAAAGCTTTGCTTTGAATTACTTATTATATGTAATAACGCAAGTTATAATATATATATATAACACATATGTAGCTATAATTTAAATATTTTTTATAATATATGAAAATAAATGTGGTAATATGAAGCCCCTTTATTTTCTTATGTGCAATTTTAAATAATATAATAATGAAATTTATTGACATTCAATATAAAAAAAATTACACTGATTTACAAAATTTCTTTGCAGCATCTCAATGATGATTTTTATATACTTTTATTTTATTATTCTGTAATAAAATAAAACAGAAGAGTTGTCACCTTCTTACGCGTAGCGCTTGATTGAAGGACCTATTAAAATTTGCGTTGCCTCAAACGTTTTATTAATACAAACTTTATCATTAAATAAATAAAAATGATGAATCAAAATAAATCAAGTTGTACTTGATCGAATGTCATCGAACCACATAATCGGTTACAACATTTCCACTTCTCTGTATTCTTCTCTACAGAAAGACAAGGACATTGAAATTTCTACACACCGTGATCTACCAAAATAGAGTTAACGTACGCATATCGTCTAAATATCAATAGGACCAAGTTTCGTTTTATATTGCTTCGCTATGTAATTAATGGAAGGGTCGCATGGATATATCTGTAATTACATGCCGTAGCTAATGCGACGATAAACTTCACGGTTCCGTTATGCAACATTCTTTTTTGCACGTTTTTGAAGTCTAGTGTAATTCAAAGTAGCGATAAATATCGCCTTGACAGTAAACGATTGGATGGTCTTGGAAGATTGTAACATACTTTTGCTATCGTAAATGTCTACCGTGCGTATGTCTGTCAAAGGCCGATCTCTATTGATTCTAGCTGATATAACGTAATGTAGGAGTCGGTGTATACGTCCGATCGAATTTAATTGCCGTCGTAAAGCGAGGGTGATGAGCGTTTGCGTTTCACTGGACTGTATTTACAGTTTGTGGATTTTGATATTGTTGACATTTTAATATTGCGCAAGAATATTATAGACTGCGCGTGATGTAAGACTAATCGATTTATGACCGTCGACGAAAGCTGTCGGTAGTATTTTGATATTCATCTGTTAATTTCTCTCATCGTAAAGGCTATAACCTGTAACTGCTGTCAGTTATGGCCTAAAAATTATTTGATAAGATAGCTTTACTAATTTACAATTTTATAAAATTTAACTTGATGCCAGTTGTTGACATCATTTCTTTTGTACGGAAAAAAATCACATATCACTTAAGTTATGTGTTATTTTAATATTGTCTTATCAGGTAACGTAAATGTAATTTTTTTTATTCGGTATTATATACACTTAATTTTGTGTTTTGAATCGGACGGGTAGGGCATTCTCTGACCTCGATCCTCTGATATCACTCTTTTGGATTTTTTTTTCGGATTATTAAAATCATAATTTTCTCTACCAAAGTATCAAATGTAAATGCTTTATGCAATCAAATAGTGACCGCCATTGGCCGACCATAAAATAATGATATGCTGCAACTTACTTGGTGTGAAGTGGAATACCGGTTCGACATCTTTCGTGCTACTAAAGATGCTTGGAAGGAAATTTTTGTAAAAAATTTTTTTAGTTGTCTTTACAACAAAAAAGTTAAAAATATGTATACGTGTGTTTATTTTTATTTCTTATAATTTTAAATTAAAAATACTGAAGGTTCATTATTTACAATATATATTGCTTTCTTTTCCAAATATTTCTATTTTTATTTGATATCTACTTTTTAATTTCTACAATAAGATATCTATGCGTAAATAAAAAATATGTCATTGTATGTCATTAAATGTATATACTTAATATGTGTAATTTCCCGATATTTCATAATAAAATTATGTAAATGTAAAAATTTTCATACAATTTAATTCATTTATTGTATATTCATTAATATAATTTTTTCAGTTAATTTTATTTGATCTTATGTGATAAATCACGGGTGGCGTGCATCCGAATGCAAGAGGCGCGTTTCATATAACAACGACTTTTCATTAATGCGGGGAAAAAGTGGCGAAAAAAGCCGACAGACTTTTCATTGCGCAAGGAAGAGGCGCATTAATGTTTCTTCTTGAGTCATGTAAACTCGTCATCGGGCTCGAGATGCTTAGACACAATGATGCTCGAACGATCATCAGCGGGTCATCGCAAACATTACGCGAGCTTGCATTACGCGTGGCTATGCACCAGCTACCGTGAAGTCCGATAAAAGTTTAGTGCTAGTGGCGCAAGTACTTTGAATAAGTGCCTGAGTTATTTGCTAACGGGAATAGTACTCGTATAGAGAAATCTTCAATCTGTACGCTCTTTGCATTTGTTTCAAGGTGGTAGTCACTCGCGGTGTCAGAAAATTATATAAATTATTCGGTCATTAAACATATTATTTTTGCAAAGAATAATTTTCGTTCAGAATATACTAAATAGTTTTTTAAATATACTAGAATTCTTTTATTACACACACATACATATACGTATTATATTATATTGTATAAAAATTTGAATGGACTATATGGAATGCATCCCCCAAATGGATTACTCAAATTTTTGTGTACTAATTTAACATAAGATGAATATGTTATTAAGTAATACAAATATTATGTAAAAAAATTTTTTAAAATATAACACTGACAAAATTTATGTATATATTTCTTCATAAAGAATTTAAGCATATTTCTTCATAAAGAACAGTATTTAAAATATGTTAAATTAATGCGTTTCAGTAAATTTAAAATTTATGATATGCTAAATTAACATATTTTATTTACTTATCTTAGAATTTACGTTTTAAAATACATTTCTTTCATGTTAATTGTTTACTTATTCATAAATTGTTTTAGTACTAAAAAAATGTTGAATATTAATTTAATACAAAGTATTCGAGTAACACAATCATATAATATTATATTAAATCAAAACTCGTGTATGTGTTAAAAATTCAACACAAAAATTTTAGTAAATTTTTAACACGAGTACAAAACGTTTTAGTACGGACTATGTAGTTGAGATTGATGTAATAAAAATAATTTGATAGATAATAATTAATCTTTACCATTTATATTATCAAATTATTATAAATTAATTATTTCTCTCTCTCTCATCATTTACAGTTAATAATAAATATGATGTATCTATATGTATTGTATATAACGGTAATATTGTATATAATTAGCCAAAAAATTTTCGAAGTTATTTAGTTTCCACAGAACGTTATATTCCTACCTTTGGTATTGTATAATGACCGTTAGTTAATAATGTAATGATAAGGACATCAATTTATCGACATCAGTGTTGGAACGTATCTAGGTAAAAGTACCTAGATACAGTATCTAGATACTTTAGCTGTACCTAACAATAAGTGCATTACCTAGATCCTTATAGGCGGAGATACCTGTATCCGTATCTAGTTATTTGTTGATACAGTATCTTTTAAGTACATTTTTTAGATACATAGTTACAGGTATTATACACTGTCGCCACCATTAATGTTGTACATAGCTATTTCTCACGTTACCAAGTTATGTTTTGTAGTCTCTATGCTTTTGAAGATGTTAGAGAGATCTCTATGTTTTTTAAATACGTTTGAAACATTTCTTTATATCCAAGACAATGCCTAATTTGAGTCAAACACTGGGTGTAGTCGTGTAGAATATGTCAACTTTATTGTTGCAATTAAATACAATTCTCAAACGTTTTGATCCCGCTTCGGATCCTTATCAATGATTTGTATGTTCTGATTACCACATTTCAACTATCTAATTGTGAACATGCTAACATCATTAGCTCCGATTAATCATTGTATTAGGAAATATTTTGATAATCGGAATATGCAAATTATTGATGAGGATCCGAAGCGGGATTGAAACGTTTGAGAATTGTATTTAATTGCAACAATAAAGCTGACATATAATACACGACTACACTCAGTGTTTGACTCGAATTAGGCATTGTCAATACCACTTGGATTTATTCAAACGAGTCTTAATAATATTATTTTATATTTCTTTATATGTTAAGATAAATAAATAGAGATATAAAATGTGATATTTAATTTACGTTGCTTATTACTTTCTCTTTTCCTGTTTCCCCACTCAAAAAAAAATTTTTTTTAAGTACCTAAAAAGTATCTAAATTTTCAGATACTTTTTATTTATATCTGTACCTATACCTAGGTAATTGTAAAAAAATGTATCTATAACTATATCTAAATACTTTTGCCATACAATACCTATATCTATATCTAGATACCTTTCAAACGGTATCTGTTCCAACACTGATCGACATCTTGTTAAAAAATAGCGATAAATGGATTGTTAGATTTATAATTGTTGTATATAGGGGTTTGTTTAAATTAATATTTATATATGTATTTACGGCTGATGAAGACTTAGTAAAGTCGAAACGTTTCGTTTAGAAAATTGTAATGATATGATAGATTAAATTAACAACTTTTATACTAGCTCGTTTAATAATACTTTGACCTGGGTTGCGACTTTATGGATTGTTTGTTCTCACACGAGCGAAAATAGTGATTATTAACACTTAAATTATTAATTTGTTTATTGTTATATTCCTAATTACATAGAAATGCAATTATCTTGGCGATGGAGTTGTTATGTCTTTCAACTCTGTTCTTTTTTTTTTAACTTATAGCGATTTGCAACGTCGACAAATCACTACGTTAATAAAAAGCAGATAAACATCCGGCGTGTCACGCCACTAGATTTATTATCGGGATAGTAATCTTCGCAAAAAAGCATGTTTTCTCAAAGTCTGCATTAAATAAAACATGCTTATAGAGCAAATTATTAAGTATAATTATAAAAAGTAAAATCTGCTATAAAGAAAATTATTTATTGCTTCTTGTAAATTTTTATATTTTAACTGTTACATTCTATGAATCTTTGGCTACAACAGATACACATCATATATTTTTACTACATTATCTTTATTAAAACTTTTTGATTATTATCAAATCTTATTGGACTGCCAGAATTTTATTTTTTATTATTATTCAAAAGATTAATTTTACTGCACTTGAAATATAAATCACGTTAGATACAAATGAGCGATTGTAAAACTTAATGAATTTTTGATGTAGATAGACTAAATATGATCGCGAATAAAAAAGATTGCATCTTCCACTCGGCGGCGCGGCGCGGCGTGAGAAATTTCTCCGATCGCAAGTTAACGTACTCGCCACGCGCGATGGTTTCAGAGGCGTGGGAAAAAGATTCGCGATTTTCATCTGTAAATTTTCCCGAATTAAAACTGCGAAATTCGTTCAAATAATTTTAATTAAATATATAAAATAAAAATTAAAAAAAATTTCCGTCTAGATTTCACGTACATTTCTTTCATTGATGCTTATACTTATATTTGACGTTTTAGTACGTAATCACAAAGGTCAAAATCATGTTTGATGTGATCTTATATCGCCGCTGCTAGTCATCTAAGATTAATTCTCGTCAGGACTAATTAAAACGTTCTTCCTAATCGACGCTCTTACATCCGTATTTTGTATACTTCTCTATCCGTATATGGTAGATAACTCTGGGGACATTGTAATTATCCATGAATGAAGTTCGCTTCTCATGAGGTTAACCTTTCGTTTAGTATTTAGTTCTTCACTGAATGAAGGGGCTTGACACAAACGCAGAAAAGGTCGTGATCGCCGCCCGCGCTACCTTCGCTCGTCACGTTTTATAGATAAGCCGTTAAAGGGATATGTACTCTCGAGCATAGGAAAATCGATTTCTAAACCACGAACTGTTGTGTGTGTGGTATTACTTGTTAAAAATAATTTTGTCAAAAATTAAATTTTTTATAAATTTATGATAATTTTAAATTAATTTCTATTTATGATAATTTTTATTTCACAAATAAGGAGAAAGCCATATTTGTTTAAGGCGAGACTTGATGCCTTATAATAGTTTGTGTGAATTTAATAATTTTCAGTTTAAGAGCATTCACACAAATATTATTATAGTATCTAAACTCACCTTGACTAAATATGGCTTTCTTCGATTATTTGTGTTGAATATTTTTGATCAATCTTCACTTAATTTTTATGACAATATTTAATTAATTTTTTTTATTTTTATGTTATTTTTATCATCAAATACAATGAAGCTTTACGTTTTATGTTATGATAAAAATCGATCTAACGCTGTATGTTAAATGTAGTTATTTTTATCAAACTTTGAAATTATCGACTGCATTAATATCTGGCTATAGCTAAACTGCAATTATCTTGTCGATTTATCGATAAATGCAAATTGTCTTGCTTCGTGGTGCAAATCGCTAAGTACGATTTGGTCATATGATTGATTATTCGAAGTTCAACACATTTGTGGATTTGCATATAATGTTCAATGTTTGTTTATTTGTTTTTATATATTCAATTTTATGCTCTACTACTGTGATTAGTTAGTATATTCCGCTCGGCGAATAATTAAAAAAAATGATTTTTAGCACTAATAATAATAAAGTTAATTCACTCCATCTGCAAAAAAGGATTTAATATAAAGT